TTCCACCAAGTTTTTGTTTTTCTTTTTCCCTTGAGCGAGTGGAAGATTTTTTTGGTTTATTTGGTAATTACAATCCCTATTAGTTGCCTTAGTTTCCATATGGCATCTCAATTGACTGGATCCTGAACTTCAATCCAAACATCTCGTGTTTGGAGGCGTACACAGTAACCAATAGAGTGAAGCACTGAACTTCTTCAATTTAAAAATTCAAATGGTTAAATGGTTGCGACAGCTGGATCCATATTAGCAAGAGACCATTATGCAGCGGGCTTTTGAGTTTTAACCAGTTTCGCTTAAGATAAGCCATAAGCGTGTATGAGAGCCTCTTCCCAAATCAGTCTTCCTAATCTGCTTTTTTTAAACCCGTGTGACAAAAAGAAAATGTTCGTGGCATGAAGCCAAAAGAGGTCACAACCACCAGGGTAGTGGGGGGAAATCAGCAGGTGCTGATTTACTATGGTTTCAAAGCCGTGTAACTGCGAAACAGTGTTTTCCAGGGATGAAATTATCACTTGGCGGTCTATCCTCATATATGTGCTTGTGGATGAATGGTTTCGAAAGTTAAACTGTGAACATTCTAGTCTGGAGAACGAATCCCGTGAAAGTCGTTCGATTTCAGCAAGGGGCGAGACAAATGTAGCTGAAATGAAGGCCACGATTGAAAAATGCCGAAATGTGGCATGCTGTCACAGAGGATTTCCATGGGATTGGAGCGCCGGCACTAAAAAAATTATGTATGAGATTATTTGCGTATAGAAATGTTGTGCTTGTTCAGCCCTAACTGAGGGAACCAAAACGGTAAGAACTGACATCTGGTAGGAAAGTTCCAGCCAAACAGCCATTTGGCAAGAATTTTCTGAGTGCCCCTCGTATAAGCCATTTTCTTCACTGCCAAGATTTGCCTTTGTGTCCGCCGTGAACCCGAATAGACATAATAACCTCCAAAAATAGGACAAAAGAAAGTGAAATCATCTTCTGCGGCTATCTTGCTAATGCGAGAGCATCCGCTCCGAAGACATCAACGCATATCGGTCCATATCTCATAACTACAAGCAATGTGGCCTTCCCCTTTTTTTTAAGGGGGAAGGGGTTGAAGGGAGGCCTCTGAAACTCTCTCAGGGAGGCGTCCCCTAAGGTTAAAGAAATTCTGAGCAGTCGGTCGATAAGGGTCAGGAAGGGTGGAGTTCTCGTCACGCTACTCCATTTTCGTGTGCGTGAGACAGGTCTCTCATCTAATTTTGGAGGTCCAAGTAAACCATAATAATGGACCTCTATGGCGCAAACTTTTGGCTCGCCAAGCATGAAAACTCGCCAAATTGTTGAACATCCGCTTGCAAATACGCAACAGTAGCGACATTCTCCGTGGCATAACCTTGGGATTTTGGAATCGATCTTGCCATTTTCGAAATACTGAGATCAAGAATTCGTTAGTACTTAGTGCGGTACTTCCAGTTCCATCATCAGAAGCAGATCACTGAGTGAATGGCATTGGTATAAGGTTCATATGTACCAGACCAAGCGTTTTGGAATCCGAGAGCGTTTTTTTCCAGCCAGCCCAAATCAAAGTGTACTGAAGGCCCACTGACGGTCTTTAGGTTGGGTCTACGCCCTAACTTTTCTCATACAAAAGAATTTCAACCCTCGACTTACAATTAGGCTTATGATGGTTGATCTCGATGGTCAATTTCCGACATAACTTCGGCACGATATCTGACAACACTGGGGGACGGGAATGAAGCCGGCATGCTAAGCTGAAAAGGGCACTTTTGCTGATCGATGAGTCGATATCTTCCTTTTGGTTGGAATATTTTTGCCGAAACACCCCAAAGAGAGGGGGAGAGAGAAAAAAAGGAATGAAATTTTCAGCTTGAAAAAGCAAGAATTGGTATTCTTCTGAACGTGGAAGGATTCAAAGCTTCCGACTTGATGAAGCGATTCTGCCTTGAGAGAGGATGAAGCTTATCTAATTTCGTTCTTACAGATGCTCTCAAAGAGAAATAAGAGGAGATGGAGTTTTGTGACGGGAAGATGTTGAAAAAAAAAAACGCGCCACCAAAGCCTAATGATATTTTTTCTCAGCCACTGCAGCATATAGATGCGGAATGCTGGAAGAATTAATTGATTCCTGGAAACGTGGATCCTGGATCCGTGCAAACGGAGTTGGGGTTGAGAGTTTCGAGCTCTACACTGGACGCGGAGCGGCTCCATCGGAACGACCCGATCCGCGGATCGGACCTGTGGAACTCGTAGTGCACAGGCCATGGAGTCGGGCAGAGCTCAGAAAAGTGGACCCGCGAAGGTCTCCTGCATACAGACGAATGTCGGCTATTATTATTGTGGTGTGCTGCCTGGGAGGCAGTCAGAACGTTTCAGTCCGTGGAAGAATGCAAGGACATCATCATTCCACGCTTGTTCTCTGAGGAGTGGACAGAATCGGAATTCCAAGGTATGATGTGCATTTGCAACCCTCTCGAACATACCCGGATACTAATAATAGGAAAGTCAGTAGCGGGTAGAGATTGCCAGCATCAACTTTTGTGCGCGCCCACAACGTCGCTATGTAATATATTTCATTTCCTACCTCTAATATTTTAATGCTAAAATTTAGCATAAAATATTAGAGGCTCATTTATGCTCTCTCATGTCGAGGGGAGCTCGACAAGAGAAAGCATGAATGAGCTCTAACTTTCTTCAACTCCTTCTTCCACCTCCTTGTATTAACCCAGCAGGATAAAAGAATAACTGTTACCAAAAAGGGTTCACCATTTTTGGCGACAGCGTATATATCCGATTCCTATGTGGAACTATAATACTGTGAATAAATATGCAGCCTCAAAGAGGATATATATTTATTCATTTTCTTATGTATGACCCACTCGTGTTTATATGCTACTCAAAGGGTTGAATATCGAAAGGTATAATTTAAAAAAAAGCTGAGGGGGTTCAATAAATATCTCAATAACCCTTTGAGATAGTGTTGTACCGACACCTTGCAATTATTCTTTTTAACCCTTAAAAAGATATACCCTGAACCCATTTTGCTTACATTGTAGGCCTATTAGCCCTCCCCTAAGTTGAGGGTTGAGATTCTCTTGAAATGAAAAAGGTAGGTCTAGGCCTGATCTGAAGACATTCCGTGGGTTAGGCCTCGCGTTAGTGCTGTAGATGCGAGGGGAGGGAGGGCTCGTTGAAAAGAATGGAAAGCCTTTAAAAATTGATAGCACACTTCTTCACATTCCAGTGACCGTCTCTTTTGGACGTGAAGATATTTGGCGTCCGTTAATGGGCCACTTCTCTTGCATTATAAATCCCAGAAACTAGTACCATCCTCCATGGAAGCAATAGCGGTTTGTGTGCACCAAACCAACTACATTCTCCTCACTTCTTGCTATTTTCCTATCAGCTCTTCAATTCTACTGTATATGCCAGACAGCCTTGTATGGTCACATTCCAGACTCTTGGTGAAGGTCAAATTCTCGCAATTCAGTCATAATTATTTATATTCCGAACTCTGCGGAGGACATGACTCACACAGTTTCAAGTAAATGGTTCCTCCGAGTAATTTACCTCCCGAATGAGGCATGCATGAGTTTCGCTGGCTATTCCTTATAATTTTTTCCTGTTCCATCAAAATATATTTTACGGAGTTGGCAGGGGCTCCTCCTAATAGGGTTGCCACCGCGGAACACCATCCCGTGCGTTTCCTACGAGACGCAAGGTGGCCTCTGGGATACCATCGGCTTCTCCATTGGCGCCGGATGGGATTGGTGAGCATAGGTTTCGTTGAGACTCAATGGATTGTTCTGGGGTGAGTTGGGACCTGTGAAATACCTGGGTGATCATAGACATGTTCCCCTTCGCATTTCTTTTCATTGAGGCACAAGTGATGACGAGGCCATTTAAGATGGTTGCTGGTCAATGTAGCCAACCGTGTATCATGTAAATAATGGTATCATTGTCGATTGAACATAGGCATCTATTGATTGGATCGTTTTATACGGGGAGCGGTGAAGAGTGAAGCAGCAATTTCTCAACTGGAGTCTCATTCATTCTCCAACAAGCGTGCAAGGTAAATTGAATTTCATTAATAACCAAGTAACGGATGAGAACGTAAAGCCTTCTACCTCCCCATTTCCCCTTTTGTGTCACCCTGTAGTATAGGACCTCCTTCCTAGCACATGGATATAAAATTTCAATCTGTGCATTTGATAACGGCAACGCAGCTTTCATCTGAAGGGGTCTCGCAAACCATCGTTTCTAGCGTTGATCCCGGAAATCCTCTTAGACGTCATATAGCTATTCCGGATATAACCCAGATTACGGATCAAGCTTGACCCAACAAAGACCTTTGCATGGCAACGTCGGGAGACCATCGACATTGGCAATCATGCTTGGCACATTCATGACTCTAATTTAGCTAGCGATCATTCGGTACTACATTGGCGGAAGACATTGGCTCTTGATGGCCTTGCCATTATTGGCTCATCACTGGCGGAGGACGCCCGCACATTCTTCGTATTGGGCTGACTTGCCGAGATGTTGCACGTCATCGGTCAAGGACAGAGATCCATTTAGGGATTTTCTCTTTTAAGCAATACCCCCAATAGCAATAGCAATAGCAATAAAAACTGATTGACGAGTGAATGGAAAATTGAAAATTCAAATGATCAAAAATGGGTTTGCTTGAAGCGATTTACCACAAAATTCTCACACCATTCTACTGCAAAAGGAGAAAATTAAAAGCCGCATTCGTTACATTCCTGTAGGTGTACTACGCCTTACTTTGAAAACTTGTAGCGTCATGTTCAATTCTGCGTAGAGAACGAGAGGATCAATTCCAGCATCTGCTGCAATAAAGGTGAGTCCGATATGATTGGATCTTGGATGATACCAAATTTCAACTGTTGAATTTAGTAATAGGAAGTTATGCCAATTTTCTTGGTTTGCTCTATTCAAAAATAACATCCTGGTATTAATTAAAGGCGATGTCAGCTGCAACGATGCAGGATTGGGTTTTCGGGCGTGGCGATGCACTGGTACATGAACTTCATGCCGCCGGAGATCCAAGACACTCTCCACGAGATGTTCCCGGATCTCATGCTACTGGGAACGGAGGCTTGCAACGGCAACCTTGGGAGCACCGGGTCTACCTCGGAAGTTGGGTGAACGGCGAGAAGTGCGCCCTTGATATCATTCAGGTATTATGCTGTTTGGTATGTCTGGATCAATAGCAAGGGTCGAGAGGAATTTTCGTCACTGTATTTGTATAGAGCTTCCGCATCCAAAAACTTTGATAATTTATAACGATGTCGAAAATGTGTCACATTTCATCTTAGCATTCGCTCAGATTTATTGTTGAGTTGCTATTTAAGAAATGCCATTAGTGGGTTCTGACAGAGGGAAACGTGATAAGGCTCTGTTCAGCAAAGGTATTTTCAGGCTGAGAAACATAAAATGTTAAAAATGTTCATATTTTCTCTCTGCTGAAATACCCAAGTTAATTCTGCTCCTTCTTCGTGAAGAATCCTGTGCAAAAATAAAGAAAATAACCCAACGATGAAGCAAAAATAAATTTTAAAATTGCTTATGAATGTACTGAAACTTCTTTTCGCAGAACCTATACCACTGGATGGTAGGATGGATAGATTGGAACATGTCTCTGGACCTGCTCGGCGGACCGAATTGGGGAGGGTTTTACGTGGATTCACCGATAGTCGGCAATGCAACCGCCGGGGAATATTACAAAAATCCTACCTATTATGCCATTTTGGACATTTTGGTCAACTGCCCGATGGTACTGCTGTGCTCACCCCGGAAGGACACGTTGTCGTCGTCCTTCCCAACAGGTTTGTTCATTGTTTCTTGGCCAGAGTGTTATGCAATGATCTGTCCCTAAGACTGTCCCTATGACGCTCTGAATGTGAGATTGAGCGGAAGACGTGTCTTGAGCGTCACGCTGTGCGTGTAAGATGCTCTGTCGAGCATTCGATAATTCGGGTTCCACTTGTGATTCTATTGGACTAATCACATTGGATTTTCATTGATTCTTGTGGAAATACCGCGAAAGGTTTTCTTACAATTTTCCTGCATTCTTTGTGCATTCGTGAATGAAGAAACTTTGAAGTGGTCGGGATTCCTTGGCGAATCCTGTCTCACATTAATGAGCGATTTTGATTCCTCTTTGCGGAGCAGATCACGACATTTACCTAATTAGCCACTAATGATGCCATGGTATTGCACCAAGCCTGTTTTTTATTTTCTGCTATATTTTCCATTAAGGCATCAGAGTAGCGCTTTCAATTATGCAATTCGTCGGAATGAATGAGGATTTCATTTTGTAAAAGTATAAGGTTTCTATGAAGATAAGGGCTTTGAATCTACGAAAATGTCTTCAAATCAAAACTATTGCGTTGGAAAGAAAGCCTTGCAACACTCTGCGCAAATTTGTCAAAATTCTATAACTTTATTGAAATGCAATTTCAGTCTACAATGTAATGACCATTGTTGTTTATGACATGTTCCCAACGCTCGTCCACGTGTTGCGAAGATGACCCGCCAGACAATTTCGGAACTGGGAAGTTTTACCCCATCCAGTGTATTCTCCGGACTTGGCCCCTTCCGACTATCACTTGTTCCGGACCCTCAAGAATTACCTGCGGGACAAGACCTTCGACGATCGAGCACGGCTCGAAAATGACGTCGGCCGTTTCTTCGCTTCGCAATCGCCAGAGTTCTGGGCAAAGGGCATCGAGCAGTTACCCGTGCGTTGGGAACATGTCATAAACAACAATGGTCATTACATTGTAGACTGAAATTGCATTTCAATAAAGTTATAGAATTTTGACAAATTTGCGCAGAGTGTTGCAAGGCTTTCTTTCCAACGCAATAGTTTTGATTTGAAGACATTTTCGTAGATTCAAAGCCCTTATCTTCATAGAAACCTTATACTTTTACAAAATGAAATCCTCATTCATTCCGACGAATTGCATAATTGAAAGCGCTACTCTGATGCCTTAATGGAAAATATAGCAGAAAATAAAAAA